ATTTAAAAAAGAGAGGGAAGAAACTGAGATAGAGAATAGAAAAGGAATGTGTTTGGGGAAAGTCAGGAAAGTGTTCTGTGTTAGCCAGTGAATCTTAAACAATATTAACTTCTTAGCAACAATGATTCTGTTTTGTTTAACTAACAAAGGATATTGTAAGCAGATACATGCATCTGGGGCAGATAAGGTTTGAATTGGACAGTTCTTTTATTGGCCTGGCATTTGACAATTAACTCAAATTTAGCTATGGGACAAGAATTATGTATATTTGCTTCTGAGACAGGGGTCAGATGTAAGGCTTGCAGAACTTTTCCAGTTCCTTGCTAAATTTAAATCTTAATAGAATAGGGCCCAGCCTGTCCTCTGTATGTTTTCATGCCACTCCCAACGGAGTGGGGAAGCAAAGAATAGAAAGAATTAAACCTGTCTCTTCCTCTCATTAGAAGTGTGACACTTGTGCTTGCATCTCTTTTCCATACAAGATCTCAAAGCACATGAGAGGAAGCTTGAGCATTCTCTTAATGTCAATGGAAAACCAAGGCATGGAGCAATTCAGTCAGTGTTCAGCCTTACGATGGCAAAGCAAGTTGTTTTTTTGTATTCCACATAATGAATTGTAGGAACATGTCCTCTGTGAAGTCCTGCATTGAAGTATTTCAGCACCCTAGGAAGGATAAACAGCCAAAATACATTGAGTGATTGCTGGTCTGCAGTTATACAGGGGGCTGGCAAGGCTGGGAACAGACCCCAGGGAATCTTGGATCCCATCCCCACTTCTGATTGCAAGATGTGTCTCTGCTGCTCTGAGCAACTGCTTCCCTTGGTGAGGTAACTTCTTGTTTGAACCCTGGTTTCAGGAAACGGCCAGAAGTCACGTATAGATCAATTAGCGGTTTTGTTTTCATCTCAGCTGGCTGAGGGCTCCCTTAGCTCTGCTGGCACTGGCCTGTCCCCGCTGTCACAGCTGCCCTCTTCACACTTAGCCTTGAGAGGCCAGAATTCACAGGCTGGGAGGCTGAACCTCTCTTGCCACTTTATTTCTGTCTCAGTTCAGACAGATTCTTGCTGCCAGTGAAAGCTTTTTCTACCAAAAAGGAAGAAAAAAGCCATTTCTCTGTGCTCACCAGTATAAAGGAGTGGAACTCATTTCATAGAAATCAGTGAAATTAAGTAAAGCTGAAGAGACAGAATACAGGGGTATAAACTTAATTACTGAAGTGCTGTATTAAGTACCTGGATTAGGCACGAGAAGGATGTGCCTCTCGTGGGAAAATACTTCTTAGCCTGTCAGTCCTCGTGCTGAGAGTTCTCTAAATGGAGAATTTCTTTGGTACCTGTGTGAATGAGTGCCACACACCCAAATTTTACTGAGTCACATCTGGACCAACCTCAAAATTTCCAAAGCTGAGCTGAAGCAGCCAGCCTTTTCTTAGCTTCTCATCCCAATCCTGTAAAACTGCACTCCTCCCATAATCCCAGCACAGGTTTCCATGAAATCCTAGGTCCCAGCTTGTCTGATGGCGTTGGGCCATGCTTGAACCTTCAGCATGAGATATTGGTCATGTTTTCTGCTGACATGAAAGCCAGATGGAGAGCTCTAGAAGATGTATTTGACTGAACTACTTCAGTTCCTGACTCACTAACAAAGCACAAAGACAGGCACTGTATATTCTCACTGCCTGCATGCATATAAACGGTTTATATTAACCTATTTCACAAGGGTTTTGTGAGGATTAGTTAATATTTGCAAGGCATTCATGGACGTGCAGCATATTAAATATTGTGAGCCAGTTCCTTCCTACTTAACTTGCATGACCTGATGACTCTGAGAACCTTCGATTCTGGTTTTCCTCTCCAATCTACATATCGTAATCCAGAAACCTCTTTGGCTTCTCATACCTTCAGCTGTTGGACAGGAATGGCAGAGCTTCAACTCTTCTCTTCACAAAGATTTGCCCTTTTAAAAGAAGGGGAAAGGGGAGCCTGTGCAGAAGAAGGTGTACGATGCTGCTTAGGCACTGAAATGAGCAGAAAGCTGCTGTACAAAGGAAAATGGAAACAAGCCTTTTGTTAAAATGCATTTCTGAGCATGAATGTAATCTTGAGCAGCTTCCCCAGCCTCTGTGTAGTGTTACGTTAGGGGCTTCTGTTTCAGACTGGTAGAAGGGCTGATCTCCTGTGGTTGGTATATAGTTGTTATCATAGAACCATAGAATCAGTAGGGTTGGAAAAGCCCTCCAAGATCATCTAGTCCAATCATCACCATACTACCAATGTCACCCACTAAACCATGTACCTAAGCACCACGTCCAACCTTCCTTTAAACACCCCCAGGGATGGTGACTCCACCACCTCCCTGGGCAACCCATCCCAATGCCTGACATCTCTTTCTGAGAAGAAATTTCTCCTGATTTCCAACCTGAACTTGTGTTGTGTTCCTTATAAATCTGTTGCATTTCCAGTATCTCGTGAAATACCTATTTTGATAACGTCATTGAAGAGACCTGCCAGGGAAAATGGCTTGAGGAGGCCTTTTATTTCCTCATATGCTATGTGATGCAGTGTCAAAGGGTGAATTTGCTCCCTGGTTTTGACCAAGATCAATTCGTGCACTTCTGTATAAAGATGTTTACCTCTCCTTGTAATTCTTTCTATATACAAAGCTAAATGCTTCCTCTAATTAAGCTTCTGTTATCGTTTGTAAGCTGGGGTCTGATTTTTTTTTCCTTCTTGGGGATGGAGTGGATACCCAGGTCTGAGAGCTGCAGTCAGACCAGTCTCATAGGACAGGATCTGACAGAATCGGACAAGCCATTGGGTCCTTCCAGCCCTGTGTTCCTGAAACACATACTGAGTAACAGCTATAAAGGGCAAGGGAACTCTGCTGGTTGCAGGCAGGGTAAGTTACTGTTCGTAACACAGCGTACTAACTATGAGAGGTATGCCAGACCTTGCCGGTGTAAATTGGCACAAGCTTCAGTGGAGCTGCAGTGGTCTTCATCAGCTGAGGACTTGTTCTTCAGTGCTTAGGAAGTTAGTAATTTTACGCAATGACAACAACAAAAACAAAAAAAATACAGTGATGTCTTTATGGGCCATTAGCTCATTCCTGACTTGTTAGCCATCGGTGTTACTTCCCTGGGGAATGTGTTTCACATCAGCAGATTTCTATACTACACCATTTGCTGATACTACCTTCCTTTTTTCCCCTCCCAGACCTTGATTCCTCCTTTTTTTTTCTTTCCTTTTTTTCAAGATGAACCTCTTGAACTTTTTTGCAAATTCCCCTTTCATGGTAGTTTTTCTTAGCAAGCTCTTGCCAGCCTTTGTACTCCTCCCCCTGTCCATCTGGCTGTGCCACTCACATTTAGACCTTTATATCTTTCCTTATAAATCCTTCAACCTTTTGGGGTTTCCTTTCAGTCTGTGGGATTTTTGGCTGTATTTCTGACCCATAGCATCCTGGGAGTAAATTGAACATAAGAGGTGTCCTGTCTCTGTAACAAGACTAACAGCTTCTCTATCCATGTTTTTTTTTAAAACATCATATTCTGCTCCAAGCTTTGATCTAACTTTCTACAGTCCATTTAATGTCAACAGTTTGCAGTGATTCTGGTTTGCATTCTTAGAGATTTTTTTTTCCATTTAGTCCCTAGGTTTATGAACTCCTTTTGAATTGTGTTCTCCCTGCCTTCCCTGGTGTTTGCAGCACCTCCTGATTTAGATTAAACATCTCTGAATTTAATTAGTGTGCTCTCTACTCTCATTCAGATCATTAAATTGGTCCACCAGGAGCAAAGCGAAGGATGAGCCCGGAGCAATATACGCCTGTGCAGAGGATCAGACAAATGAACAGCAATAAGCATTAACAGAGAAATTGTTAATATCAATACACTACTTTCCTGGGGAGAGTGTTGATGGGATCTAAAGCCAGGCAAAATGATACATGAATGTTTAGTCTCAGGTGGCATCTTTTGCAGATAAATTTGGATTAAGCTGCAATAAATTCATGGTCCTGCCTGTTAAAGCTGTCAGCAAAGTGTGAGGAGTCCAGCCAAGATGTAACACAAGAATGGATTAGCATCTCTCAGTCTCCCTGGGATAACACAAACTATAATGTAGCTGCATTCCTGGGATAGAAGCAGGACATCTGAATGACGGAATGCAGATGTCACCAAAGCGTAAGCTTCAATTAAAGACAACTCCGAGGCTCTGGAGCAACATAGATGCACCGAAAACCCTCTGAGAATGACAAGAGAGAGAAACTGAAACATTTTTAGCTGAGTTTAGTTGTATATTCTGGCCTCTTGGGCCATGGCCAGACTGCTGCCAGTGCTAAGAGATCTGTGTTTTGATTGAATTCTGTGACAATCAATAGATTACAAGGGCAAATTTTTATGTTCAGCAAAACAGCAAGTACCATTTGGAGATGGATTACCCTGTACCTTCTATCCACGTATGCCTGGTACATGTTTCATTATTAACATTCTTCACAGATGGATCAATAGACCTATCGATCTACTGAACAGGCTAAATTTTTTCTTTATCATAGTAATGAGAGCTCACTGATGTCTGAATGTCTTTGTTTTGCTGTGCAGTGTTTTTAACTTTAACTCCACTCAAGAGTTAAAACAGTAGCTAATCCAAGCTCGTCTGTTTTTCATTTGGAAGTTTTGGGCATCTATTTTGTGAATGAAAGCACATAGCCTAACAGATAACCTTATGTGCCTCCTGGGGACTACAGGGAGTTATCTCAAGTGCAGCATGAACACCTAGATGTCAGTAGACTATAAAAATCCAGGCCACAGAGAAACATTAATAGGATGCATATCATGGCCTTGACCTTCAAATATAGACAAGAGCAGCGAGTGAGAATATGAGGTCATGCTAGAAAACACCGGTGCACCAGTTTTGATAGCCACCATCCACTATACCGAAATCCCTGTTGATTTGCTGTTCTTTTTTTTTCTTTTTTCCCCACCTGCTGTGGCTGAATTCAGATGGTGAAGCAGCAATCCCATGGCTCTGGGTCAGCAAAGGGGGGAAATGACTCGCTCTCTTGCGTGGGGCAGAGGAATGGTGGCCTTCTGAAGGACCTAGAGGCTTGCTGAGGTAGCCAGTTAAACGGCGTTATTCAAGGTAATATCAGAGGTGATGTTACAGATACAAGTGGAAAAAAAATACACAGCCTGCTTTAATTTTTTTGTCTAGTGGGAATGATTGAGGACTGTTTTGTGTGCTTCTTCATGGAAGGCTGCAGTTAAGAAAGCCGCTGAGGGTTGCTGGAGGTTCAAGTGAGGGAAGCAAAGAATTTTTGCACTCTGTGGTTGTGTTGAGGGAAGGATTTGGCAGCAGACAGGCACACTGTAAAATTGCAAAGCGATGGAGACAGAGCTATAGTGGCAACATAGAATGAGTTGAAAACTTTTCTTTAGGCTCAGACTATAAAAAAAAAAAAGGAAAGCAAGTTTGACATTTATGTCTCTTTCATTTTTCCTCTAAAATAGACTGCTTTTTCCTCCAGAGTTTCTGCAGATGTAGGCACGAGTAGCAAATGCTCCAGCTGCAGATTTAGAGGGCAAGCTGTCTAGGCAGTCATTATGATTCTTATTCTAGAACCAGCTCTACAAAGTACCCACCCTCAGAGAGAAATTGTTAGGTTTCAGCACATCTCGTTTTCTAATTTACTACCAGAGGAAACTTCCCAGGCTGGGAATTCAGTTTGCCGCACAACTGAGGAGGGGACTGAGAGCTAAGGGGGGGAAGCATGACGTGTGTAGACAAGATGAAGCAAGTTGCAGGCTTTCCACCTGCCCATTGTTAGCTTGCATACTTGAGCAAAACCAAACCACTACCAACATCTAGAGACTTGTATCCTGCAACACTCCTTTTCTGTCTTCCCTAGAGTTTTTGAGAGGCTGCACCTGACCTTTGTATGGGCTGACTCTAGATGTGCCAAGCAAGCAGTTCAGTAACAAGTTAAGTGGAAATAATTATTTTAATTAGTGTAATTGAATTACACCGAAGTATTTGTGGGGACTGCTGTTCTGCTTCAGATAAATTGTTCAAACTGTCCTGGCTATATGTCACTCCTAAACCAACACATTATGTAGGGGCTTAAGACGGGAAAGGAGATTGGTTGGAAAAATGCACGATTAACTTCAAATTTCATAACAGCATGAACACGGGATGGATTGCAATAGGTTTTAATTGAACAGCAGATTATTATTTTTTTTCTTTTGTAAGTTGTCATCACATGCACCTAGCTTTCTCAGGGAGTCATAAGGTTATAGGTATTTTCTTAACCTTTGTTTCTTGCTTGTCATCAACAGCTGAAGTCCCATCACCATCAACTGTGGGCAAAGCACAGCTGCCCTTTACATGGGACCTTACCTTTTAGCAGGAACAAATTGATCAGCTGTCTGAAATGCTGAAGGTCCTCAGTCAGCTTAAATTATAAATAGTGGAGATCAGAATGAAAGATGCCTGAAAATTTGGCTATTTTTCTTTTGCAGTTAAATCGTTGCATCTCAGAAGGTATTTGATTGCAAGTGATTACATCTGCTTTCAATTAGCAGAGGAAATAACAAGCAAATCACCAGTGTTTCCCTCCACAGCAGTCTTTTGAGGAAGCTTTCCATAAGCTATGTACTTGACAGCATATGTAGCACTAATACTTGGTATGACTGTTTCTTCTCCTGCGAGGAAATGTGATTGTCACTAAGGAAACCCACTGTATATAATTAATTAATGTATTGTAGCACAATCCATTTTGCTTCAACAGATCAGATTTGCCACTTGGTGTTGGTGGCTGAGATCAGTCAGCATCAACTGTGTTCAGTTTTGGGCCCCTCGCTACAAGAAGGACATCGAGGTGCTTGAGCGGGTCCAAAGAAGGGCGACGAAGCTGGTGAGGGGCCTGGAGAACAAGTCCTACGAGGAGCAGCTGAAGGAGCTGGGCTTGTTCAGCCTAGAGAAGAGGAGGCTCAGGGGTGACCTTATTGCTCTGTATAAGTACATTAAAGGAGGCTGTAGAGAGGTGGGGGTTGGCCTGTTCTCCCATGTGCCTGGTGACAGGACGAGGGGAAATGGGCTAAAGTTACGCCAGGGGAGTTTTAGGTTAGATGTTAGGAAGAATTTCTTTACTGAAAGGGTTGTTAGACATTGGAACAGGCTGCCCAGGGAGGTGGTTGAGTCACCATCCCTGGAAGTCTTCAAAAGACGTTTAGATGTAGAGCTTAGGGATATGGTTTAGTGGGGACTGTTAGTGTTAGGTTAGAGGTTGGACTCGATGATCTTGAGGTCTCTTCCAACCTAGAAATTCTGTGATTCTGTGATTCTGTGAACTGTGAGCACACCCAAAGCGAATTTCAGCATTGGTTTCGATTCCTTGGCGTCTGTCTGTGCGTTGTTTATGTTGGGACTGAATTTGACTCTCACGTGTGCTGTCCTTTTGTTCCTGTAAATCCTCGAACTGAGGTTATGACGGGTGACATAGCCAATGCCTCCTGACCTCAGTGATATCATAACAGATTACTCGAATGCTACCTGAAAGTCTGTTTGTGATGGCCAGAGTAAATGTTTGGTGAAGATAAATACCTGAATGGTAAAACTAAATGCCTGTTGGTTATCTAAGGATGTGCAACAGGGAAAACACCAAAGGAGTTGTAAGAATGGTTTATTCACATGGGCATACAGTGTTTTATTAAACATGCTAAGTTTGGGGTATGATAGAGCCTTTCTTTTTATTACATCCTTAACAGTCAAGTGAACATGGATTTAGAAGAGTGGAATGTTTTAAGCAAACATTGCTGACCTAGATTTTCAAAATGGGTGAGCTTGAGGATACTGTCTTCATTTTATGCCTCGTTAACTTAGCCTGTTCTTAGGAGTTTCTATGGAAACTATTTCTTCTTTAGTGATAGACAGAAACTTTTGATGGTTCAAGTAAGAAGACAGTAGCACGAGGCAGTACGGCAGAGAATGTAGGGCCCTAACGGAAAAAGACAATGAATGAACTTTGAACATAAACAAAGGAGTGATAGGAGACCATAAATGTCAGTGCACTGACAGCTAAATTGACTCAAGTTACTAACGGATGTGATAGTACAGACTTAACAGAACATGACCCTGTTCTGATGGTTAATGTAGTTAAGCTGGGCTCAGGATGGAATAACAGATCAGTCTGACTTTCTCCTTATATATGAAGAAGTAGGGCTCCAACCCAAAATTTCAAACATTACTGCTGAAGGAGTATTCGTGTTGCACCAAGCCTGCTTCTTCTTTGTGCATAAGGCATCTGAATGCATACTTATGTTAAATAGTGTGGTTTTTTTTTCTTTCTGATTGTGTAAGCACACAGTATTTTTACAGTTTCAGACTAAAACACTTCCATTTTGCTTTGAGACATTTGGATGCATTCCCTATAGTTTTACATCTTCTTAATGTGATCTCATAGTTTATAGGCCAAAAGTGATATAAAGCATTTAGATGCTTGTCACAACAAAATATTTCAGCAGAGCCAGACTGAAAATTATGCAGACAGCTGGGCATCAGTTAGAACAGAGTTGTGTAGGTGTGATTCTGGGTTTTACTATCATGAGATTCTGGACAAGCTATCTGATAAATTTCTGAAGCCTGTGTTTTCCAGTCTCTAAAGCAATATGATGATATCTAACTTTTTATTAAGTATTTATTACTTGCCAAACAGGAGGACTAGCAGCAAGTCAGAGGCCCTTGAATAGTACTATGGGTTAGAAGTAAATTAGCCCTATTCTTTTGCTTTCCATCATAAGAGTCTTTTATACCCTGAATATAGAATGCACTGTAAACAGAGCTGCATCAGGCTGTTGAGAGGGGTGGCAGGATGTCAGAGCTTGTCTTTCTGCTCACAGGTTTAAGATGTGGTCTTGTAGGTGGTACACAGGAGGTACAGAACAGCAGTGAGTCTGGCACAGCAGCCTCTGGAATACAAGCATCTATCCCAGGAGTCACAGTTGGCAGTGTGAGGATGTGATGCTCATCCAGTTGAATTAAAAAGCTGGAATGTGAATCTGGCAAGCTTTGGATTGGTGTCCTAGAGTTTAAAAATGGCAACAGCCACCTGTCCTGTTACTGCACCCTGGGAGCCAGCAAATTGTAAGATGAACTGTAGGAGCTTTTAATCTGGTGCTGGTGGGACTTCGCTTGGAGCTCTTGACTCGCGTTATTTAATGGATCATTCAGAGGTCATCTCTGCTTCCAGGGAGCTCTGCCCTCCACTGAAACAAAACCCACAAACCTGGAGACTACTATGCAAAATGTCAGCAGGGAAGAATTTGGAGCTGGATGCCTGTTCTGGTCTCTTCTGTCAGTACCAGACTGTGAGGTCTTTGCGGGAGCTTGGCAGGTGCCTTGCAAAATCAATAGCCCATTTAGTCAGTTAAGCTGACAGTGGCTAGACTTTGTGCTTGTGTTGGTACATTAACATAAAGTTGTCTGGGGCTTACCGAAAACAGACAGTAATGGCACTAGGACCAGGCTGCCTGAGAGAGTGACACACAAAAAGCATACCTGGGGCCAGCTTGCTTTAGGGAGAAGTTTCTTGCAGCCATTGACAGCTCATCTGGCCTCACACTGCAAGGGTTTTTCCCTTGCTTGTTCTTTGATCTAGTGCAGACAGGTTATTTCAGGGTATTCTAGTTATTTTTGAGCTTTCAAAGGATTGTGAGAGCACAGAACAGTACAGAGATAAAAATAACCTCCATTTATTTAATGTTATGGAGTATATAAAACTGCAGTCACCTGGACTGTATGGGAAGGCCTCTGTTCATATTTTCATAATTGTGGGCCTGGTTATTTGTGAAACTCAGTTGCTGTGTGCAGCCTCGAGGATGAAATGCTGTTCCTCAATTCCTTAAGCTTAATTAAAATATTGTTAGGCTGATACATGGAAAACATTGCTGAAGCTGCTCTAGTACTGTAGCAACGTGATGTAAAAGGGAGACGTGAAGGTCGATAAAGGGGATTACTGGGCCAGGAGTGCTACAAACGGCTTGGCAGTTGCTGTGCTCTGTGTATTTGTTGCCACGTGTTTTCCCTATGTTCTGAATCAGCCTTTCCATACAAAATCCCTGAACTTGCTTCTTGTGTTTGAGCCT